AAGAGCCACCAAGCTGCGGGGAGGGGTGGTGTTGACTGTGGGGACAAGAAGGTCTTGGGGAGCCTGGGCTGCAGAGCTGGGAGCGCCCACCAAGCGTGCTGGCTGGCTTCTCAACACATGGGTGCTGTGTTCCCAGATGCCTTTGCAGTTGGATGGAGTCACGTGACCACCTCTGGCCAATGAGTGGGACAGGCGGTGACACGTGTCCCTTCGGAGCCAAACCATAAGATGGGCAGTGTGACTTGCCTGGCCGTCTTCCTCCTCTCATTCAAAGTAGTGAATTCTGCAGCTCTGGGTTCAGATTTCAGTGGCTTAGGAGGCACAGCTACCCTGGGAGAAGGTTCCAGAAAGAAAGGCTGGAGGCTGACACCTCCCCACGCCCTGGGTCCCAGGGCTCCTGACGCAGGCCCAGGCGGAGGCTGGTTCGGGAAGGCTGGTGCCAGTGGCAGACACCAAGGCTGGCGTGGAAAATGGGGCTGGACTTGGCTTGGGGCTTTGGGGTGGGCAGCTCCTTAGAACCTAGGACCACTGGAGCTCAGGTGGTGGGCATGAGCTCTGGGGCACACAGGCTAGCCTACCAAACCTCCCACAGACAGTGCATGCTCTGAATGACCCTACACCCTGGGCACCAAATGGCACTCCTCTAGACAGAATGACAGGTCCCGAGCCTACTGAGGGATCCAGTCTCTACGGTCAGGGCAGCAGAAGTTTCTAATCTTCTAGGTTTGTGCTGTCTAACTGGAAGCTGCTAGTCACCTGTGGCTGCTTAAACTTAACTTTAATGAAAATTTAACTCCCTAGTCACACCAGTCACACTTCAAATGCTAGTGGCTGTCGTACTGGACAGAGTGGGCACAGAACATTTTGCAGAAAGTTCTATTGGGTTGGACTGTTCTAGAAGCACTGACACCTGGGGAAACTTTGGGCTCTCATCTCATTACCAAATACTCCAGTGACATCCTTGGTCACAGAGCACTGCTGTAAAATTGCCAGCCCTCTTGGAGGGAAAGTGTCAGTAAATAGACAAGAAGAATGTGCTAGAGAACGCTATTCAAAAACCTGTGATAAACCATGATGGAAAAGAATGTGAAAAAGAACGTACATATGATTATAACTGAATCACTTCTCTGCACAGCAGAATTTAACACCACATTATAAATCAGCTAAAAAATCCTAAAGGAAATCAATCCTGAATATTCACTGGAAGGACTGATGCTGAAATTAAAGCTCTGATACTTTGACCACCTGAAGTGAAGAGAAGACTCACGAAAAGATCCTGTTGGTGGGAAAGATTGAAGGTAGGAGAAGGGGACAACAGAGGCTGAGGTGGTTGGATGGCATCATTGACTCAATGGACATGAGTTTGAGCAAACATCAGGAGATAGTGAAGGGCAGGGAAGCCTGGTGTGCTGTGGTCCATGGAGTTGCAAAGAGTCGGACACGACTGAGCAACTCAACAACAACAATAAATCAACTATACTTCAATAAAATGAATTCTTAAAAATAACCAAATTAAAAGAAGAAAGAAAATACAAGATTTCCCCAAATAAAAGTGAAAATGTGATTTGGGAGAAGAAAGAAAGAGAAGAATGTGTTGACATATGGGCAGGCATGATGACCTCCGGGTATGGGTGGGGAAATTTCTGGAGTTAGCAGCGGGCCTGTCTGAGAGTTTGCGTAAACTCTGGGAGTTGGTGATAGACAGGGAGGCCTGGTGTGCTGCAGTCCATGGGGTCGCAAAGAGTCGGACACGACTGAGCGACTGAACTGAACTGTCTGAGGTGGGAACTTCAGAGCTGAACCGAGAGGGGAGAGTGGGGCTCCACCTGGAAAATAAACAGCAGCCCCAGGCCCTAGGAAGGAGGAGAGTGTGTGTAAAAGCTCAGGGCTTGTGCTGAAGGAAGGCAGCACAGCTGTGACTTACGGGAGGGGGTAGGGTGCCGGCCATAGAAGGTGCTGTGCTGTTGGGACCTTGACATGATCTGACCGGTGGCCGTGAAGCATCCCTGCAGCTGTCAGGTGGGAAATGACCTGCTCCCAGGCAAGACTGGGACCAGAATTCTGATTGGGAAGCTGCGTTCACTCAGGTGAGAGCTGAGGGTAGAGAGTGTATGGTCAGGGTGACCACGTACCTGGTTGGCGTGGGACAGGCCTGGTGTACAGTGTCCCAGGGCCATTGGTAACCACCACCTTCTAGTCTTGGGCTGTTTTCTGATCTGGATAATTCCGTGAAGGCGTCTGCTGAGATGGAGAGATGAAGAGACATGCTTCGGGTGAATCCAGGACCTCTGATGGGCTGTCCTTGGGAGAAAGGGAAATGCTCTCATTTCTGACTTGCATCACCGAGTATACTAAGATGGGGCGCAGTGTGTACATGTGGACAGGCTTTGGGGGCTTCGTGAGAGTCATCACTGTCATTGCAATAAGATTAGAGATGGCTGTGGATTAAACTGTGTCCCCAGACTCACAACTGATGCCCAAATCTCTTGTGTGACGCAGGAGGGGGCCTCTGGGAGGTGATCAGATTGTGAGTGCGGGGCCCCCAACAAGGGGGTCAGGGCCCTTGTAAGAAGCTGGCTAGGTGAGAAGAGAGATGTTGTCTGCCGGCTGAGGACCCAGCCCACACATCTGGGAGCAGAAAGGGGCCTCTTGCCAGAACCGGGCCCGACCAGCACTCTGACCAACACTAAGAGAACTCGGGGTTTTGCTGTCTGAGGCTCCAGTCTGCAGTTTTAGTTAGAGCAGCCTGAGTGAACGCAGGTGGCGGTTACAGACTGTTTTATTCCAGGGCAGCGGCTGCTAACCTACTGGGCAGATGCCCGTCCTTTCCTTAGCCACGAGCTCCAAGGCCACAGCCAACAGCCTGTTTGCGGATCCTGGGATGCCATCTCCAGCCCTGTATCCACTGCTGTCCCCTCAGCCCAGAACACCCATCCCTTTGTTGGCCTCCTCATCTGGCAAGACTTGCGTTTGGCAGTGCCTGCTCAGAAAGCCTCCCCTGATCTCTGGGGTATTTACGGAGCCTCCTTGGGGGACCTGCTCCAAAGGGTCAGTCTTATCATGGTCGGTGTGCTGGTCTGTCTTCCTGGCCTGATGGGGGCGGGTATCAGCATCTCTCTTGTCAGCACTTTGGCCTGGGTGAAGGGCACCTGGGTGAGGGGCTTAGGGCCCCAGCTCGAGGGGCTGCCTCTGCCACGGCTGTGCTAGGGCCATCCCGAGGCCGACACGGGGTCTGTCCCCCCCCCACCCCCGGCTCCGTGCCCACTTCCAGGATGACCACTTTTAGCGGATGCCCTCCCCAGGCGCTGGGGGAAGAAGGGGGACCGTGGCTGGAAATGACAGGCGTTTATAAGAAGCGGCTTTTCACTTTCACAAGTTAGAATACATCATCCTTTATTTTTTCCAGGCTCCCCTGGTCCGACAAGACGCTCACTAGTGAGAAAATAGGGGTTTCCCGCGGCTCGGGCTCAGATCACGACGCGGAGGGAAGCATATGCTAGGTGCTGAGAAACCCCCTCCCTGGCCAAGCCGCGCTGGAGGGCCGGGCGCACAGCAGGACTACAGGGGCGGAGTCACGCGGACGGAACGGACGGACGTCCAGGACGCACAGAGGGACGCGGGGCACGAAGGCGGGGCCCACACTCCGGGCCGCCGTGCAGCGTCTCGCAGGCCCCTCGATGCAGTGTGCGAACGTGCAGGTGACCACGCTCTATCCGCATGGCCGGCAGGTCTCCCTGCCGACTTGGCCGATCTCGGGAGCATCTCCCATCCCGTCTTCCCGGAGGGTCCGGGTGCCGTCGGTCTCAGGACTGGACACCAGCCTTCCCTCGCTGGGGGTTTTACGGGGAGAGGGGGGCAAAGGGGGACTCCACCAGCCACGTGACGAAGAGGGTGCGCTGAAAGCTGCATCAAGCGTTATCCGGGACCATGGGAACCCTTAACTGGGGGGCTTTGGCCATCAGGGGAGGATGTTTTCTGCAAGACTTGGAAAACGACAGCGAGAAACACAGTGTGGCCGTACTTAAGGTGTCCTTACAAACAGCGGTACGGGGTGTGTGGGCGGTGGGTTCTGCCTTTCGGGGTGCCTGTGTGACAGGCCAAAAAGCAAAAAAAGAAAAAAAAAGAAAAAGCACAAAGGAAACAGACAAGAGTCCTGTGTATTAGGAACACACATGAAACCTGAAACACAGATGCGAAGGTGGAGAATAAGGCTGGCGCGCTCCCTTTCAGCGGGACCATAAAATTAAACTCTTTATATATGTCGTCTTTGTGTTTAAGTAGGCTCTACTCTTTAACAAAATAAAAACTTCTGTGTTAACTTTAAAGATATCGTTTAGGCATCTAAGGGATGACCTGGAAGAGGAACGCAGCGCACAGGACCCCCGCAGAAGGTGCGCCTTCGGGTTGAAGGTCCTCCCTAAACACAGATTCATCATGAAGGCTGCAAAAATTGCCCCCCCCCCATGCTTCTGACAGCCCCGGGGAGGCCCAGGCGGGGGACGGGGGCCTGCGTGCCGGGCCGTGCTCCAGGCTGAGCAGAGAAGCGGGGCCACGGACACCGTGACCCAGCGCCCGTCACTGATTAAGCCCCTCAGGCGTCCACTCCCTTCCTGTGTACCCGGGGGCCCAGTGCGGGGAGGGCACTGCAGGGAGGCGGGAGGGTGGGCTGCGTGCGTCTAAGTGGTCCTGCGTCTGCGGGCAGCGACCTCGCCGCATCCTCCTTCCGGATGGCAAGCAGCAGCGGGGCAGGACAGTGCAAAGCCAGGGGTCCGGGCGGCAGACTAGGCGTGGGGGCGGTGCTGGCAGAAACCAGAATCGGGGGCTCTACCTGCTGTGGGACCTCCTCCCGCCCCCAGTCCCCCCCAACCGGCCCTCCCCAGGCACCCACCGCCCGCCCGCCCACGGTGGACACAGAGAAGCCAGAGCCGAGGGCAAGAGGAGGGGGGTCTGGTGGTCCCCGCAGGCACGCCCGTGGGCAGGGCCCCCACCCCCCAGCAGCGTCAGAACAGCAGGGCTTTCTTCTTGAGGTCGTTCCTCTTCCAGAGGGCCAGGCGGTCGAACTCTTCCATGCTCATCCCAAACACTTCTCGGAACTCCTCGGGTGACAGGTGTCTCTGCAAATGAAAAGGGCAACCCAGAGGGGAACAGTGAGCAACCTGGCCAAGCGCCCCCGGAGGCGGGACCTGCAGAGAGGATGGGGGGGTCTCCCTGGGCACACCTGGCTCCCCAGCTTCCCTCTGCATCCCCACCAGTCTGCTCTGCAGGGCACAGAAGCTGGCCCAGAGGAAAGAGGGATGGTGAGGGGACCCACGGTGAGCAGCTGCCAAGCAGGGGCCAGAGCCCTGACTCCCGACACCTGTAGAAGCGTCTCCCATCGCAGACTGAGTGCAAATCAGGCCTGGAAATGGTAGGGAGTGTGCACACGTGGTCACCTGTACCGTTTCATGTCCTTCTCACGGCTGCTGTCTGAGCAGGAAGTGTCCCCACGGCTCGCACGAGGACACGGAGGCAGACAGACCTAGGCCTCACTTCAAATCCTCCCTTTCCCCCCACCCCACCTCTGGTCTGTGACCCCAAGCGAGCTTCCTGTCTCTCTGAGCCCCAGTCCTGGGGGGCGCAATGGGGAAGCCGGACAGTGTTAAGGGCACCAGTGCCAGCTAGCCCCTGGAGTCTCAGCCTACTCACATGTAAATGGGGTCACCCTGGCACCCCCCAGAGTTGTGGGGTGAACAGGTCAGCACAGGTCAGCTCCCAGGGCTGACCCCAGCCCTGGGCAGGAACAGTGAGCCCTAGGCACAGTTATTATGATCTGAGATAGAGCCACCTCTGTCGCCACTTGACAACACCTGAATTCTAGCCTCTTCCTTGCAGGTGTCTGCTCCCTTCACCCCCAGGTCTGTCTTCCTCAGCTGGTGCTGCATAACTTCTTCTTGTCCTTCAAGACCCAGCTCAGGTGGGCATGGCACCCTCTCCTGGGGGTCTTTCTGGGAGGAGTGAGGCCAGCCACCCCCCAGCCTGGGAGGAGCTGGGGAGAAAATGGAAAGGGGGGAGAGCAGCCGGCAGCAGGAGGGGTCGAGCTCCAGCCCCAGAGGACCTGGTTCAAAACCCCCTCCTCCCCCACGTAAGAAGTGTGGCTTCTGCGTGGCTGCGTGGAAACCAGCCTGGCCGTTCCTCTGCACGCTTAGCAGAAGCACCTCAAGACCCAGCAGATCCCAAAAGACCAAAACCAGGGACTCGCATGGGTACCTTCACACCCGTGTTCACAGCAGATTATCCACACCGGTCCCAAACCGGAACAACCCAAGTGCCCGCTGAAGGACAAAGGGACACACAAGACTTGGTCGATTCAGACTCCGGAACGTGGCTGATGAGTCCTCAGTCGCGTCTGCTGCTTTGCGACCCCACGGACTGTAGCCCGCCAGGCTCCTCTGTCCATGGGGATCCTCCAGGCAAGAACACTGGAGTGGGTAGCCATGCCCTCCTCCAGGGGATCTTCCCGACCCAGGGATCAAAAACCTGGTCTCCTGCACCTGCTGCATTGGCAGGCAGGTTCTTTACCACTAGTGCCACCGGGAACATGATTCATCCATAAAATGTCGTGAAGCTCTGACCTGTGCTACAATGTGGATGGGCCAGGAAACAGGCTAAATGAGCCCATTTGTAGGAAACATCCAGAGTGGGGAGCATCCTCAGGGACCACGCAGCTCAGTCATTGCTGACATCTGGGAGAAGAGGGGTCTGGGGAAGAGCTGATCAGTGGGCGGGCAGCTTCCCCCCGGACCCAACAACCGCTTTCTAGAATTCTGCAGAGGTAGTGGAGGTCACACAACACTGAGAGTGTGCTAAAGGCAGTCAGCTGTACACTTTAAAATAGCTGCAATTAATATGAAATTACAAGAAAATGCTCTAATATGCTTTCATTTCTACTGTCATTTAATATTTGAAACTACTTATTTGATTGTTCCTGCATAAAATTAAACATCTAAATTACTTTTATAATAAAAATAATCAAATCTAAAAAATGAATAAAATGGCTGCAATTGTGAATTTTATCATTAAAAAATCCAGTTCCTGCCAGAAAAAAAAAAAAGAGTGCTTTCTTGAATTTAAAAAACACATTCTACTAAAGGTTACTGTGATGATCGAGAGAGAAAATGGTATGAAGACCCGTGGGGAGCTATGGAAAGCAGAAACAACCATCACCGCCAGGCATCTCTCTCACAGAAGTCACAGCCCTGTGTGACTTGCACTGTTTTGGAGCCCAGTCACTGGCATGATACGGGGGAGGGGACTCAAGGGACGCTTTTATGCTGAATCACAGAGAGTGTGAATCGCTCAGTCATGTCCAACTTTTTGCGACCCCCATGGATGCTCCTGGAAGCATCCCAGGCTTTGTGGTGAAGGCCCACGGCCTGTGCTTGCCTGGCTTGCTGGGACTGGCCTGTCTTGATTCCCCCGCAGGGCTCTCCTAGTCCCACCATCTCACCAAGCTCCGATGCCCACTGCAGCCCACCAGCCCCCCTGCTCCAGGTGGTGCTGAGTGGGTGGGCTCAGGCACAGACCCCCTCAGCCTGTGACTCTAGGGGCTGTGTTCCTTCAGAGTCTGGGTCCCACAGGGCATCCCCACACTGTCACAAGCCACAGGGAGGCCCTGTCTGTAGAGGGGACTCCTGCTGAGCAGGGTCCATGTTCCTTGTTCCTTGACCTCATCACACAATGACATCATCACCATGGTGACATCATCACATCATCACGACATCATCATCACAATGGCATCATCACCATGACAACATCATTGTTGTCATAAGGACAATGGGCCCTGCCATCTGTGGAGTGTTCCTCTGCGCCAGACAAGGGCCAGAAGCTCTCCATCACTGGCTTGTGACCTTGCCATAGCTTACTGGGTAGGATGGGGATGGAAGCTCTGAGATGTGGACTGATGTGGCTGCCAGGTGGCCCCGAGGACCTGCATCACCTCTCCCACCTCTCCCACCACGGCTCTGCCCCATGGCAGGCATCTATAAGTTCTGAAACACGCCAGGCTCTCTGCCACCCAGAGCCTGCAGTGCTCTTCCCCCACTTCACAGAGCAGTTCCTCCTCCTTCCGTAGGTCCCAGCGCAAATGTCCCCTCCTCCTGGGGGCCCTCCTGGGTTGCACTAGCCAAGCAGGCCCCGCGCCATGTGTGTCCCTCAGTACTGAGCACAGCTGACCTCGTCTGTCTCAGCCCCTCTAGGGCAGCATGGGCCTGATTCCTGTCCTCATCCAGGGATGATCCATGCTTTTGCATCCCTGAGTCCAAATCTGGCTCTCACTTCCCCAGTCACGCTGCCTCCCAGCTCCCCCTCCCCAGCAGGCCTGCCCCTCTCTTCGCAGGCCTCCCTCTTCCCTCCCCACCCTCCACCCCTGAAGCCCTACCACCTGTCCTGGCCTTCCACGACGGCTCCTGTTTGCTCTCCGTGTCTCACCCGGAGGCTCTGGCAGATGCGTCTCCCACGCACGTCCACGTGGCTGGGAACAGTCACCATCAGTCTGTTGAGTTCTTCTGAGACCCATCAGACCGGTCGGATGAGTAGAAACAAAGGATGTATTCTTTAACCTCAGGACCTCGGGTTTCAGGCGCATTCCTACAACTGGGGCTTTTCTGCTTGGGCAAACTCAGGTGTGCGTTTAGCCCCAGGGTCTGGCAGAGGCACTCTTGAAACCACGGCTCCACCCGGGGAGCTGCTCAGCCCTGCCTCTGCCAAGAAAGGAGCACCCTGGGACCACAGCCTCCAGGCCTCAAGGAGGACACACCCTCCTTCCCCACCTACTCATCCGCCAGCCTTGCTCTCTGCAGGAGTCAGCCAGGCCAGGCCCGGCCCTGATGCCCGGCTGTTTGGCCAAACAGTCCAGGGGTGGTGAAGGTATTCTACCACATGGTCATGCCTACAATCAGCCTTTAAGTGAAGATGCAGTGGCTGCTTCCACTCTGCCGGGGCAAACACTGAGGGCTTCCTGGAGGATGAGGAATTCTGCCTCTACATGTCAGCTCCAACTTGAGTGTCCAGCCGGCTGTCCTGCCCCGCGGATGCCACACTTGCCAGCCCCACAGGAAGCCAATTCCTTAAGTTAAATTTCTTGATGTTGGATTGGCCAAAAAGCTCATTCCGGTTTTCCATAACATCTGGCTGAAAAATCCAAACGAACTCTTGGGCCAACTCGATACTTGTCCGTCTGCGTCTCTCTACGTCTGTCTGTCTGTCTACCTGTCTGTCTCCTGTTGGTTCTGCTGTCTCTCTGGAAGGCCCTGGCTGACATACTTTCCTACCTAAGGAGCAGACTGTGTGTTCTGGGAGGTTGGCGTGTGGAAGAGGGGTTAGAAATCAATATTCCATACTGTAATTAATCTGGGAAGACGCACAGTAGACATCTTAACCAGAATTCCACATCTGCTTCCTAGAAGCTGCAAGGCCTGGGGACATCCTCCAGCCTTCTCTGTACCCCCTGCCCCAAACTTCCTCTGTACCCGCTGCACCGAGTTGTGAGAAGTGCACCAGCATGTCAAGTCCTTGGAACAACTTGGTGGTGATGATCAAGTGCTTATTAAATAAGCCAAATCTGATAAACTCTCAAACATCCTGCTTTTTCCCAGTACCAGGCATCCAGGAGGGACTTCCCTTCTGCGGTGACCCAGCCTGTGCCTGACCCTGCCTCCATTCACCCCCGCCCACCTTGCTTTTCCGTGAACTTCTCAGCAAGCACTGTCTGGCCCGCCCATAGCACTCCTTTTCCATGGAAGCCTTTCTCTAATTCTACTGGCCCACGTGGCTGTCAGGTTGGTAAAGAGGGGGTGACACGGACAAGACAATTGAAACTGCACATCACATCTGCCTAGAGCTAGCTCATGGCAAGCGCTCCCGACTCCTGAACAACTGAATAAACACCCACACTGCCCAGCCGGACTGGCACAGTGATGTCATCTGACTCAGAGTGGCTAACTGGTCCAACGTCACACAGCTAGAAACATGATGGAGACTGATTCACACCCAGGTCACCCAGACCCGAGTTGCTCTCTCCCCGCACCAGGGTGCCACCTTTGGACGGCAAGAGGCTGACACAGAGCGAAATGGCCAT